TAGGAGAGTCTTGAACTCATCAAACTTCTTGAAGTCATCGATGGCCTGAGCTCGGGTTTCAGCTCGAACCTTCGCAAGCTCCGCCTCAAAAAGAGCTCCGCGAGTGAATAAGCTCGAGCTTCGCCTCCTCTGCTTTGCCCCTTGCAAACTCGACCTCGTCCTCTATCTTCTTGAGGTCCACCTTGGCCGTCTCCAGTGCCTTTTCAAGCTCCTTGACCCTCTTGAACGCAACCTCGCTTTTGACTTCGAGCTCGACTATGCGATCTGAAGAATTCAAACCCTTGAGCCCAAGACCCCGAGCGACGCTTAGTGTCTGCAAAAACATGTATAAAGCCCGACGTTAGTACAAATTACGAAATCGATCAGGGCTACACGAGCATTCATATTAAAAACCTACCTTCAGTGTAAAGAGCTCTAGAATCCAAACTCCTTCGTTTATATCGACCTCCTTCTCATATTTATCAACTATGCCCTGAATGAGAGCATAGTCGGCGTACTCCTCAAGCGACTTCGTGGGCATATGGTCGTCATCATCAGCTAAGAGGTCCGACCCATAACAAGGGGTTCGAGCTCTGACTTGTTGTTGAGGGGTTGGCTGCTTCGGAGGGGTCGGGTTTTGTGAGCTCTGCCCCAAATCCACCATGGTTGGACGGGCGGCCTCCCGTGCCCACTTCTTCCCCTTGGACAAAGTCGTTGTCGAGGCTTTTGACTTCGGGCCCTTGGCCTTTTTATGAACGTTGTCCAAAAGAGCCGATGGATCGAAAGACATCTCGAATTCTACAAGCAAAAATGTCAAAGGCATTAGCTCGAACTATAGGTCGATGATTATCCATGAAATATCAAATAATGCATAAAAAGAAAGATCGTACCCTCGAGGCCTTTCACGTTAGCAAGGTCGAGGGTGTCATCTTCAAGCAAGAAATCGATCTTGTTTGCAAAGGGGTCGAGGTTCACTAACCTCAGCCTATCTCACTCTAAAACCTCAAAATAGGCCTGACCTTCGTTAAACCTATCTTTATCAGGGATTTCCCACCTCGGGCTAAAGGGATGATCGAGGTCTTGAGATTTCACAAAAAAGAAACGCTCCTTCCAACCTCTAAGTAAGCTCGGGGTATCAGGAGTTCTAAACCCCCCTCCCTTTGTTGATAAATAAACAAAGCAGTTATACCCCGAGAAAAATTTCATATCAAACACCATTCGAAGTAGGTTGACCCTAGGCTCAACCTCGAGGCATCTACATAGTATGAAGAAATACACTAATAACCTCCAACCGTTTAGGGCTAGTTGACCCGGACACAGATCGTATGAGCTCAGAAAATGAATGAAAATCGGTGAAGAGGCCACCTAAGCCTGGCCTTAAAAGCATCCCTAAAAAAGGTCATCTCCCCTTCTAGAGCTCCTAACACGGTCTCAGTTGGCCCTGGGGTTCTAATATCGCAAATTGGCATGACCCCGAACTCTCTAGCTATTTTAATAATTACATGTTCTTTGAACTTGGTCGGTTCCTTGGGGTAGGTCAGGACGTCGCTATGGGAGTTAACGGGGATGGCCATGGGTATAATGGATGTATTTACATCTTCAGGCTTATCATTATGGTTCGAGTCCCTATGAGCCTGACTACTGTCACTACTACTTGACCCTGTGCTATCACTACTTGACATTATGCTATAATCAAATAAAACAACTTAAGGGCTCGAACTCTTACCTCTGTGGATAGTCGCTCACAATCCCTACTAATCCCCGACCTCGAGCCCGATTTATTGGGAGTTGAGAGTTAAAAGTGAAAAAATGAGAGTGAAAATTGGGATATTTATAGGGGACTGAGGAATACCAACGGTCATGCAATCTCAACCCTTGGACCAAGACACGTGGCGAGAATCTAAGGTCGTGCTCTGACATTACAAGTGGTGGCCATCTGAGGTCGTTCTCTGACATCCCATCCAACACTTGACACGTAGAGAAACATCTGGACGTTCATGCCTCTACATCTTCGCTCGTAGACCAGAATGAAACGGCATCTACGACCTCGATGCACGGGGGCTAGTGATGATTCCAGATCTCGTTAGTCTCGAACTCGACCACTTGACCCTGATCACACCCTACAACCCCGACCTATGCATCCTCTAAAAACACCAAAGCAAGCTCGAGCATTTAAGGTCGGGGTGTGTGTGTGTCGACTCGTCAACCTTCATATGTGACCTATGGAAGCACTAATCCTACCTTGAACACAATCCCTACCTTGATAGACTCCTTCTTTGACTCAAACAGTGATTGGAATACTTGAGGTGAAACACCTACTCCTTTTCCTATGAGGAGAAGGATTGTGGCAGAATCAATCCTCATAGGACTCCACCACTGGCACCTATAAATACACAATCTGTGCACATTCCAAAGGTACGTTCTTCATTATTATCCTCAGTTTATAGCCTCACGCATTAAATTCCCTATCTGACTTAAGCATCGAAGGGGCGACGAGCACACACCTCGTTGCCTTTGTTTCAGGTACTGGAAGGCGCAGTTCGTGTTCCATCCCAGTAATCAAGCTCGAGATCTTCAGGTGATATTTTTTGGTAGCATCAATAAGTAATAATTATAAATGTGAAGTTGAAATCGACTTCAACTTGATTCGCAATTGTATACAAAATGACGGAAAAACACTATTTAAAAAACTAAAAAGAAAAGTTGAAAATGTTTACAGAGACTAACATGTTATTCTTCTATGAGTTAAACCCAAGCAGCGATTCCCAATTTACTTAGCTCATATTTGGTTTTAGCTAAAAATTAATGAGATATGTAGTTGAAAATTTTATAAAAGTAGTGAGTCCATGAATTAATTGTTCACTTTAACTTTTTTTTTTTATTATCGTTATTTTTAACTAGACCAAACAATGGCTTAGCCTTTTCATTCATCCAAACAGTGTTTTATCGAATTAAATTAATTATCAATTTTAACTGACATGATAATAGTAACAAGGTGTGATGGGGCTAGAGCGGCCTTCCCTATCTTTCTCCCCACGAAATTTTCTAAAGGTGGAGGTTAAATTTTAATATCTACATTACCACCAAGTTTTAAATTATTATTTTTTAAATATGATATAAATTTAAGAAACATAAAAATAAATCAAAAATAATATTTTAGGCCCGATTATGGCCTATTAAATGTTCTACATTCTCAATCGATTCTCAAATGAAATGGGATGTTTTGCTATCACTAGTCGGAATGGGTCCATAGACCAACATTATTGAAATAATGATATCTTTCAAAGTTTTTATAAGCTTGTAAAAAAAATATATATATAAAATAAAATAAAATAAAATTTGTCCATCATGTCAAGATAGTAGCTTGTAAGCTAGAAACGGCCTAGTCTGTTGTATTCAAATTACTTTTTTTGTTATTTTAAAAATTGGGTCCAAATTTGATGGTTAGAGAGAAAAGTAGATTTCACTTATGAGTGAAAAAGTCAAAATGATGGTTGAAATAGTGAAATAACGGTCAAAAATTTGATTTTTTAGGTGAAAAATTGATACGGAACGAATGCTGTAATCTCAAACCAAAATAAGCTTAACACTTCTTGACAAACAAAGAAAAAAGAAGAAAAATTAGTTGGCCACTTGAATGTCAACTCATATAAAGGTTGGGGGTGCTTTAGTGCCGTTGCCCTTTTCCCGAATGATATCTAAAACCCCTTGTTTTTGGGATGGACCTCACATGGGCTTCTGAGCCCACAGGGATTATTCAATTATATGGGTCATCCATTGGATCCAGCCCACCACAAAAGAATCTTCAAGGGTAACATATGAACAACAGCAAATGTACAATTGTGTACAGTTCTTAGTACAACTGCACTAGCACAAATTATTTAATTCAACTGTTAGCCAGATAAAGTCATTGCTTGCAATGTACTAAATTATTGTTGGTCAAATTTAGATCATTTCAAAAAATCTCTTCATTATTGGGAAGAATGATGAGTGGTGGTGCATGAATAAATCTCCCTGTCCGGGCAGACGCCCCTCCAATAGGGGGACACCACTGTTTTTATCCCAGCCCCCAATTAGTTGGATGCATTTAAGAATTTGTATATGGGTAAAAAACATTGTGGGTCCCCTAACTTGGAGTGATAACGTTCTTTTATGTTCAACTTTAAATGAATCGATGATTATCTAGTTGTATAATCACATTTTCTAAATATATTTCAAGAGCATGACTTCCGCTAGTGTTATTGCGAATTTACACTGTTGTCCAATTAATACAGCAAAAGAATGTCAAGATGAGTCATAGAGGAAGATTTGCCTAAAATATGGTAGAAGACATTAGGAATCAAATATTGCGACTAGATGGGAATAAAATTTAATTTTAACAAGTATATTTAGAAGGAATAAAAGTCAAGTGACTAAAAAGAATTTTTGCTCGAAGTTAAATCGGCTCTACTGTTCTTTTACCCATAAACAAGAAAAGGATCGAGACGAAGCTAAAAATAATACTATACTCAAGTGATTGATCCTGATCGTCTTTAGTCCATGTTTAGATTTGATTGCTGGTACATGAAATATGAACTCGATCATGTTGACGAAGACAAATTTTGCAACATTATTTAAATATACTGATGAAATATGTCAAAAGTATATTTTAATGACTAATTTGAACTTTAAAAGTATTCGTGAAATTAACTCCCGTGTTTATCAACATTGGAAGTAAGTTTTAGGGTAAACAATGCAATTCGAAAATTTCATTACTAAACGCGAGGTTTTTTCTTTTAAGAATTGTATTTTATTTTGAAGATCTTAATGTTACAATATGAAACAATTAGTCGATGTCAAGGTTTAATGGGTCAAGTCAAATCCAGCGTATACTACTAACAAAATGGCCAATTATTATATAACGAAATTTAACTTTCATAACCAAATTGGTCAAAAGATTACTTTAAGAACCAATTTGAAATTCTAGCTGAACTTCAATGACAATAGGCAATATGGGACATTTTGGGATGAAGCAACGAGGATAAACGAAGTTCAAGAACTGAAAATCGGAATTAGATATGCAAAAAAGGGCCCAAATATTCTCATTAATTATGCGAAGATCACTACATGAATTTACAGAAGATGACCTCTCAATTCCAGAATCTACGATTAAGCGAAAGAGAAAGCGGGTAACGAAAAATTACATAATAAAGTTATTGGGATCTGAAACTCTCTTCTTCTAGTTCTTGTACGGCGGCCTGTAATTGATCCGGCTGACCGGCGACGTAGTCCAACAATCCTTCGCCAGCTTTCTCGTCGGAGGTCGATGCCGGCGGCGGAGAAATCCGTCCAAAAACTAAAACAGCAACGAGAAAGAGCGCCGTCGAGACAAGAAGAGGCCAAAAGTACTTAATAACATCGAGAAATCTAGGAGCAATATAGAGGATAAAAAGGATGGATGTGCATAAAGAAATGGCGGAAAGGATATGGAATTTGAATTTGAGAAGCTTTTCTAGGATTTCCATGGCAGATTTAGGAGGCCTTGGGGAGAAATCGTTATTGGTTTTTGTAAAAGGAGAAAGGGTTGGGGTGGGGGTGAGGGTGAGAGAGGTGATGACTCTGTTCAGAGATTCTCTGCCGGAAGACGAAGACCTTTGTCTCGAAGACAGTAAAAAGTTTAGAGTCAATCTGTTTGTTTCACTTTATTTTGCGGGATTCTGATTCCCAAATTACCCTTTAGATTTTACTTATGTATGAACACAATAAAAAGTTTTTACCGGTTTAATTATTTAGGGAGTGTTCAGTATTGATTATGAAAATTGATTTTTTAATCGTTAAAGAGAAAAATTAATTCCACATGTGAGTGAAGAAATAAAAAATGACGATTGAAAAAGTGAAATAACGACAAAAAAATTAATTTTTTGAAATGAAAAATTGCTACCAAACAGGAGCTTGTCGTGATTATTAAGAATCAATCTATTTATTCTCTATAAGCTTTGTAATTAACTTTAAATTTATGAAATTGATTGAAATATTTTGAATTTTCAAAATTTGAAAATCTTTTCGAAAGTAGAGGATGAATTTATAATTTCTTGATGATTGTGATCACTATTTTTATTTGATACAATACATTTTAATTGCGATTAAACTTTTCAATAATTATAACAATTATTATCTTGACTTTTTGTAGAATTATTATTTTCAGCATTCTATTAATTAATACATCTCTTTCTTGATATGATTTATATTAAAATATTTTATTTTAATATTTTGACATGAGGGAAAATTATTTTTTCGTACTTTTTATTAATTTATTTATAAAAATGTGATGAAAAATAAATTGTTTTACACGATTTCAAAAAAAATTTTAACATAAAAATGCTATCAAATATAAAATGTGTTAACTTAAGATAAGAATAAAATGAGAAAAGGGTAATTGGCGCAAAACGTCCCTACCTTTCATTTCTATTGTGGAAAACGTACATACCTTTCACTTTTTGACTTTTTGCCCATATTTCCACATTTCTTGACGTTGAACGTCATTTTCACTAATTTTGGATAATTTTACCTTCTATTCAAATAAAACAAAAGGCAAAGAAAGGAAACAACAAATAATTAATCGCAACAATAGCCCCCAATTTTTAAAAAATGACAAATGACATCCAATTTCTGTTCCTTCTTTTTCAAGTGTGTGAAGAACACCATTTGACTCCAAAATTTGGCAGACGAGTGCCGTAATTTCTAAAATTGAACAATTACCTAGTATTTTCTTGGCCTGAATTTGAGTTTCCCCAGGTTGATTCATATGTTGAGACACGTCAAACTCACAAATTGATGGAGAATTATCCTCTTAGCACGGTCGCACATTCAATGAGGTCAAATCCAAAATTGTTGCATTTGGTTGATGAATTGAAGCAATTAAATCCATATCCAACGTCGTTTGACCTTCAATTGCATGTTAATTGATTTATATGCGTGTTCACTATTTCTGGACGAACAGTCATTTCAACACCAAACTGGGGAAGACTCATATTCTCGGTAGATGAGCCATTATGAGTAGTATCCTGTGGAGGTGGTGGTCAGCGATCATGGGTCCCACCACCGTCGCCGGAAAATGGTTTTGTCGGTCGTGAGTTCTCTGACTCGAAAATCGGTTGTAGATCTCAATTTTTCTAGGTTGTTTGTTATAATTGGAATATGTATGGATGCATCTTGGTGAGCTTAAGCAGCCTATGGGTTGTATGGAACATGGGCATCCATGGATTTGATCGAATTTACAATAATACTGTGCGTGAAAGGCAATTTTTTGGCAAATTTTGGCCCTATTTTGCTGGAATTTGCGTGGGGATGTTAGGGTTGATGAGGAGATGGTGGTGGCGTTAAAATTCGGTGGCCTTGGTGTCAAAAATTCGGTTCCATGATTGTTGGCACCTATGTTGAAAATTTTGTATATATTTGTAACTGATTTGTAATTTTTTAAAAATTGGGGGCTGTGGTTGCAATTAGTTATTTGTTATTTCCTTTCTTTTCTTTTTGTTTTATTTGAATGGAGGGTCAAATTGTCCAAAATTGGTGAAAATAACGTTCAACGCCGAGAATAGTGAAAATAAGGGCAAAAATGTCAAGAAATGAAAAATATAGACGTTTTCCACAATAGACATTAAAGGTAGTGACATGTTGTGTCAATTACCCAAATGAAATATCCTTAAGAATATAATGGATAAAGATTGAGAATCTTAAATGTAATTAAAATATGGTGAAAAAATAAAAAGTGTACTGTGAAATTGTATTCACCTGAGTGTCGACTATGGGAAATACGTGAAAATGGCCTAAATAAAAATGTTACTTTTCCATTTTGGCCTTTGACCAATTCAACTAATAGAAAGTACCTAAAATACCCTAATATATTTAATACAAATCACTACAATATAAAAATCTTTCATTCTAATCCTTAAAATTAATCATTACTTGAATTTAGATAGATTTATTGCTTACACATATTTATTTGATTTATTTAATTTTTGTTCGCTCGAAGTAGCACCCCTTAAAATTGGTATCAGAGCCAGAACATATTCAAAATAAATTAAAAATAATGACATTAATAATAATCAAAGAGTTACCTAAAGAAATAAAAGAACAAATATTAGAAAAATTAATAATAGGATCAATAAAAGATATATATATATATATATATGAAGATGAAGAATTTAATTTATATTATAAAGAGAAGTATGAGTGTAAATAATAATACAGATTTAAAATTGAATAGATTATTTGCCAATATTAATAAGATATAAGAAAAAAATACAATATATAATATTAATATTACATGAAATAAAAATAGCTAATAAAAATAAAATGTGAAAAATTAATATTACAAAGTCAATTCTTTAAGATAGTAAAAGAAGAATTAGTAAATACAGATCTAGGTAAAGAAAGTTTTGGAAAAATAATAGATGAAAAAAAAAGAGATAAAATATGTAAATTAACTTATATATTATAAAGATGATTAGAAAAATTTAATATGTCAATAAGTGAATATATGAAAGAATTAAAATTATTAATAAAAATGTTAATAAGTGATGTTCAAGATTTAATAAATGAAGTAAAAGAAACAAGAAATGATATAAATATATTAAAAATTGAAATTAGTGAATTAAAAGAAAATAAATAAAAAATTTATAGAGAAATAAATGACACGAGTAGGAAAGAAACGTATTGAAAAAGAAAGTATAGTGATAAAAATAGGAAGTATGGATGATGAATTTAGAAAAAAACATATTACCTCAAATATTAGAAGAAAAAAAATTCAGAGAAAAAATATTAGGAAAATTAAAAATAGAAGAAAAATAAGAAAATAAAGATGAATGATGAATTAGATTTACTGATAGAAAACTTTAATCAATTAAGTTTAGATGATATAAGTGAATAATGAATTTTAATAAATGCTGGATAATGACTTAATTTAATAGGAACCTCTAAACAAGAATTACAAGAGTCGGATGAAACTTATGCATCTTCTATATGCAATAAATCATATAGACAATTTTATGATAAAATAAAAGACAGACAACCACTTAAAAGAAATAAATATAGAGATATGTTTGAATAAAATGATAATTATGATAAACATATTAATCATGGAGGAACAAAATTAGATTTAAATTGTAAAATAGATAGTAAAAAAGCCTTATTAACTTAGGCGGATTCAATGATATTATTCTTTTTATATAACAAAGATAACACATGGAAAAATACTGAAAGAATAATATTTTTTTAATAACATCTTTTGAAGGAGATGATAGAAATTTGTGAGAATGAATAAGTAATGATAAAAAAATATTAATTAAAAAAAGTACAAACAGAAATAATAAAATCAAATAAACAAGGTATAGAAAAATTAGTAGAATATATTACAGATAAATTTTATGAGAAAATTGGATAAGAAATGCTGAAGAATAATCAATAAGAGAAAAAGATAATGACATAATTAAATTAATAAATTTAACAATATGTGATATGTGTAAAATTAAAGAATATACTTGTGAATTCAAAAATTATTATTATATTCAATTTTATATTAACAAGTATACCAAGACATGTATTATATTAAGCTACCAGGCTCGCGAGGAATATAAAAAAAAATATAAAAATAAAAAGTTTAGAAAATTTAAAAATTTTAAATAAAAATATATAAAACCTAGAATAAGATATTATAAAAGAAAAAATAACGCATATGGTCAACAAAAAAATAAAAATTATAAGTAAAATAAAAACCAATGTAAATGTTTGAATCGTGGAAAATATGTCATATAAGCCCTGATTGTGATAAAAAGAAAGTAAAAATATTACAATAGGAATATTTGGAAATAAAAGATGAATTAAGTGAAATATCAGATATTGAACAATATTATAATAAAAAAGTATCTATGAGTGAAACGGAGGATAGTGAATCAAGATTTGAATAAAGAAATAGAGAAAATAGAAAATAATAATATAAATATACAAGAATATGAAGGAATGAAAGGTTATGGAGTAAAAGTCACTATTGATAATAACAAATTTAGGAAAATGTAAAAATTATCTATAGATTTAAAAACAGGAAAATGGGAAGTTTTAGATTGAATTTGGAAAAGATAAATGATATCAATAAATGAATATCATAAAATTGAGAAAACTATAGATATAAAAACAACTTATAGAAAACATAAATTAAATCTTTTAATAAAAAATACAGTTGAAGAACTATTAACAAAGATTAAGAAAAAAAGGTGAAAAAATCTAATATGTTTATTTAGCAGGAATACAAATAATGTTTAAATCGTTATTTAGAGAATGGATAAACTAACCCTTAATTATAACCTTACACAATGGAAGTATAATAAATCTAAAAGATAGTAATTTATGAACAATAGAAAGAAATTTGACATTTCAAAAAATAATGTTTACATGCTACCCAAAATATTGTGTCTCATTTAAAAATAAAAGCTTTAATGAAATTTTAGGATTACATTTTAAACTACATAGAGATGATATCATGCAACCAGGATATCAAATTATGACTATAGAATATAGAGTTTCATACACATTTACCAATACTAATTATGAAAATATTTATTCCAATAAACCATATATTGAAGTACATAAAGAGTGTAAGGATATTACCAAAATAATAGAACCAAATAGATAGATTAGTTTAATTCCAGAAGAATATGAATTTAATATAATAAGAAATAAACCTGAAATAATAGAATCAAATGAAAAAGAATACTCTACTAATATAACATTTAAAGATGAAAAATTGATTAAAAGATCAAATAATCTTAGAGTAACTAATAGAAACCAGGCAGAAGAATTTAGTAATATAAGAGAAATAAAACTTTACAGAAATGCTGGAAATATGAAAATAGAAGGAGAATATTTTAATGGAAGAGAATATACGGAACAAACATACTAATCGATACAGTAGCAAGTGAATATTATATAGTTTCAATCAGAAATAAATGTTTAATAACTCATAAAACTGAATCATACAGATATATAAATTTGGATGGATAAGTGCATATTACAGATTTAGAAGTTAAAGTACCAATAAAAATAGGAGGAATAAACCTTTTAGTACCATGTACTTTTAGGACGAGTTTTCTGAATGGTTAAAAGATTATAGTATAAAAAGAGAAGGATTATATATAGTTCGTAATGGACAAACTAGAAGTCTTGTACAAATTTTTATAGAAATAAAATTCCAATACCTTGATATCAATATGAGTTTCTAAATCTTTATTTCCATAGATTCTTGAAGGATCTAATAGAAAGTTTATTTATTTATTTTTTATTTTAGTAAAAAAAGAGTTTTTTCTTTAATCAAAGTCTAGAAATGTATTCTCTAGAAATGATAAAGTGAGAGCAAGAAGTTGAAATAATAAAGATTCTGTAAAGGCAAGATGTCGTTGAACGAAGCAGTTTACATATTTACAGCTCGAAGGTCACTCAGTTCTAAGAATAAAGATCAATATCAGAACTAAGGTAAGATTATTAATCTTTGCTAAAATTAGAAGAATTATTTTAGTAAGGATAATATAGACTTTTTTATGAATAAATTAAAAAGGAGTAGAATCCGGCCAAATAGAAAAATCTTCCATTGGCTATTGCATCTACGGGACCCGTTTTACTAAACCCGGTTCCGAAATTGGCAGGATATCGGGTCAGCCCGTCGCAAACTCCATTCGGGTTCTAGAGTCTAGACCCGTCGTCTTAGCAATCAGCTCAGAAGCCCGGTTTACAGAGCCGAGCCGGTCCCTGAGGCACATCGATGGCGCCTGTGAGAGCCGCCGGCACTGTTGTCGTCGCGCTATCTATAGGCGCCATACTCTCTTACTTCCTTCGCAGCCGCTCAAAATCTTCTTCTACAAAGACTTCGAATCGTCGAAGTTCTAGAAATGGACTCATTGCGGCCATTGGCAATACCCCTCTTATTAGAATCAATAGCCTCTCCGATGCCACTGGCTGTGAAGTAATCCCCAATCTCTCTCTCTTTCTCTATATATATATATATATATATATATATATATATATATATGTATGCATATAATTTTTTGTGGATTAATTTTCTTTTGATGTGTTGCCTCACGAATTTATTTGTTTTTTGACAGATTCTTGGGAAGGCGGAGTTTTTAAACCCGGGAGGAAGTGTAAAAGATAGGGTTGCTGTGAAAATAATTGAAGAGGTGGATTAACTCTGTTTATTTACTTCTACTGCTTCCAAAGTTATGACCTTTGTGCTCGAAAAGTAATTAGAGAATGGCTCTGAATGTCTATTAATATGTTGAAGCAACTAGCAATTCTGTGTACTCGATTGGCTTTTAGTTGCTAATTTTAAGATTCATTCTGAAAATTTGGTTTTTGATTTCTGTGTGCTCGATCATCCCAGAGGAAATTCGGTATTTTCAAAGCCATCTTAGCTAATTGTAGATTATCTAGAGTTTCGATTCACTACTGGCATTTTTAATACTTCCTTCCGTTTTCGCCATCTTTTCATGATTTTTATAATCATAATCACCTCTCATGCAGGCCTTGCAATCGGGATCTCTAGCTCCGGGCGGTGTTGTTACTGAGGGAAGTGCTGGAAGCACAGCTATCAGTCTTGCAACAGTAGCGCCAGCTTATGGATGCAAATGCCATGTTGTTATTCCAGATGATGTTGCTATTGAGAAGGTATGATTGGTTATGCTTTATTCAAGAATTAGGCCTTTTTTTTTTCTTGGTCTGTTATTCACTTCCTCCGCCTTCTCTAGTTAGAATTCCATGTGTAAGACATCTTCCTATTTTCATTTGCTCACATACATAGTATGTAAGAATGTTCTCGTAAATTTAGTGCATTTGGCGCTTTGTATTAGATTAGACATTGATATCTTTTATCTAATTCAGCGTTTGGATAAATTGATCAGAGTAATGCAGTGAAGTTCTGATATCTTAGTTTCACAGTGGCTTTTTAACCCTCTTTCTCACTTTTCAGTCCCAAATACTGGAAGCTCTTGGTGCTATGGTTGAAAGAGTTAAACCGGTTTCAATCACACATAGAGACCACTATGTCAATGTTGCACGGAGAAGAGCACTGGAAGCAAATGAAATAGCATCAAAGCGCCAAAATAATACCAAAGATGGCAATCAAATTAATGGCTACACATCGGAAAAGGAAACTCAAAGTATCTTGTATGAACACAAGGGTGGTTTTTTTGCTGATCAATTTGAGAACCTCGCAAATTTTAGGGCTCATTATGAAGGTACCGGACCTGAGATCTGGGAACAGGTAGGAGGCAACTTAGATGCATTTGTAGCAGCTGCTGGCACGGGTGGTACATTGTCTGGCATTTCTAGGTTTCTGAAGGTTGATTTTTTATATTTTTTGTTAAATTTTTAATTCTCTTCCTACGGCTGAAATTTCCATTTCTGTTTCTGATGAAGATAGTGATATAACCTGTTGTCTCCATTCAACAGGAAAAGAACTCAAGTATCAAGTGCTTTCTCATTGACCCTCCTGGTTCTGGTTTGTTCAACAAGGTAACCAGAGGAGTCATGTACACGAGAGAGGAGGCTGAAGGACACAGGTTGAAGAACCCATTTGATACCATAACAGAAGGAATTGGGATCAACAGATTGACTAAAAATTTTAAGTTGGCAGAACTTGATGGGGCTTTCCGAGGCACAGATATAGAAGCTGTTGAAATGTCTAGGTCAGTCTTGTGCATTTTATTTGCGTACCCATCGTAGCTCAACATTCTGCACAAATTATAGGGCTATTCCTCTTGAACTATCTTATGGTTCTTGTCTATTATTTTATGTTGTTAATAGAGGGATGCGTTTATTTATTTAATTGAATATAGTTTTAAACACATCCCTTCACATACAAGATGGCAAGGCTTGAATCTACGACCTTTGCTTGCTCTTTAATGATACCGTGTTGAACTACCTCGTCCTAGAGCTTGAGCTGTTAGAAAAAAACCAAACTTGTTTGTGCTGAATTATGTCTTCAACAGTTGGTTAGTGAGGACTGTCAAAGGTAACGGGAGAAGCAGTAGTTTGTGTGATGTTCAGTTTTCCTCTTTTTTTGTGTGTGTGTCTGTGTGTGTTCTTTTAAGTTTGATGTTCCTTGTGGAGATTATGTCACCCTGTGAAAGCGAATTTATCATCGCTCAAATCTACGGATGCTTTGATTGGTAAAACTTATGATTTTCTTGTCACTCATGAGAATACCTATATAACAACCAAAATGAACGCTAGAAGGCAAATACATTGTGCAATGGGCATAGTTATGAAACTGTAAAACCTGATGTTGCTAATGTTGTCCATCAGGTATTTATTGAAGAATGATGGCCTTTTTCTCGGGAGTTCTTCAGCCATGAACTGTGTTGGAGCTGTCAGAGTGGCACAAGCACTGGGCCCTGGTCACACTATAGTTACAATTCTATGCGACAGTGGGATGAGGCACCTTACTAAGTTCTACAATGCTCAGTATTTGTCTCGATATCGCTTGACACCTTCAGCTACCAGATTAGAGTTTCTTGGTCTCGACTGAATTTTGATTTACGATAAGTTTCTTCCCCCAATTTTGACACCAAGTAGTTTCTTATTCATAAAGGTATTTCGATATTTTGTATGAGATTTAGGGGCTGTTTTTTTTTGTCATTTTCAAGCCGTTTTCCGTTTTCGATTTTTCAAAACGGTGAAAACGCGTTCCTTCCCATTTTCGAAAATGAATTTTGGAAAAAACAATAAATAAGTAAAAAAAAAAATTGTACACAAAACTCAAAACGTCTAAAAAGATGTTTTGAATGTTTTCTAGCAAAAACCCTGTATATTAAAAACACGGGAAACGCTCATTTTAGACGTCTCTCTCATTTTCGTTTCTCTCATTTCCACATATCCCAGAATCCCTGTGTCTCTTTCTCCTCCTACACCTTTCCTTTCCCCTAACTGCATCTCTCTCTTTCGACTACCATGGGGCTGCATCTTGACTCTCTACACCGTGCATGAGTACGTCTGTTGTCAGTGGTCTGCCGTGCGTGGTGCATCTGTGGTGCTGTTTGTGGTGTACTGTCTTCAAAGGTATGTAACATTGTCATTTGATTTTAATTGTTTTCTTCCAGTGTTAGTGCTTTATTTCGGTTTCATGAATTTTGATTTAGAGATTCCGCATTCATGTAATGTTTTTTGATTTAGGGATGCAGGGCTTTCCGATTGACTTAAATCACAGAAACTCTCAGCTTTTTTATTCTTGAATTCTTACTTGTTTCTTGAAACCCATGTAGTTTGTTCTTCAATTTGCTCCTCCTTCATTCAAATTTTTCTTCACATTTCAAATTTCTGCTTTTTCCCCTCAATTTTCTATTCTTAATCAGAAAATTGAAGCCTCTTTTCTTTGTTCTCTCTCTGTGATCGCTCTAATTCGGTTTCCCCTCTATGTTTTGTGTCCGATTGCAAGAATATTGTCTTTGTATTATCTAGACTGAAAGTACAATTTCCTATGCACAATGTATAATATAAGTTCATAGTTGATTTATTTTTAAGGAATTTTTTTTTCCTGTGAGTTTGCAAGTAATTCATGTGCTAAGAAATGCAAATATTTGCTAGTGATATCTTCAGAGGATGAGCTTTTGCTAATGGTTCGTGGCAGGAAATCTAAGGATCCCTTAAATCTTTAGCTCTTTTGCCAAATGTTGTGTCATTGAATGTGTTAGTTCTCTCTGCAATGGCATTATTGTTGCCATTCTGTTACTCGATGTCTTTCAGTTGATGATTTTTTTACGTTATCCCCATTTGGTTAAGTTAGACTTCTGCTTTGTTGTAAATTGTAAAAGACAAACATCTGACTCTTCAGGGCTGATTCTTGCAACATTCTCTGGGAAGTATTTGTGAATTAAGTGAGATAATTAGTTAGTTTTCCTTAGGTGAATAATATTATTTCAAGGGACACTCACCAGATTATGAGCTTATGGAGTTCTCCTGAAATGAAGGACTTATCTCATGGTAGGGATGTAAACGAGCCGAGTCGAGCTGGCTCGCGAGTCGTAATTTTGGACTCGGGCTCGGCTCGAGTAAATCGTAACGGGCTTTTTTTGGGCCTGAGCCGAGCCGAGTCATAGCTCGGCCAAAAAAATAAGGCTCGGCTCGAGCTTTTGGCTCGGGCTTTTTACGAGCCGGGCCGGCTCGGTTTTTTAATTTTTTTTTTGTTTTTCCAATTTTTAATGACATCTTTTTCATATGCTAATTGTTGTGGTGCAAATTGTTGAATGACATTTTTTTGAAAGAATTTAAAAATTGCATCATTTATTATTTATACAAATTACAAATTAGATAAAAGTACAACTTTCAAAATTATGTAATTTATACGAATAACAAAATAAATAAAAGTTACAAATTACAACCCTCATTCTTTTTCCAGGTTTGGGACCGGCTACAATCAACGTAGGCGGAGTTAAAATTGTACACGAATAAAATATTTCGTGTACAATTTTCTTGAATCAAATAAATTTAAAAAATACATTTCTTAAAGAAAAATAATTAATTTAAAAACTTACAACATCCTATGTTTGGATATGCTGCAACTCTTCAGCCATTATACTATCAACATGTTCTTGAACACGTAATTCTGCACATTCTCAATCCTTCAAACATATCAAAGCCTCCAATATATCTTCTTTTAGTCTTGATCGTTCATCTGATAAAATTCAACCACCTAAACTGAATGCAGCCTCCGATGTTACCGTAGACACCGGAGGTGTTAGTAGATCACGTGCAATTTTTGATATAATTGGATATTGCCTTTCGTTACATCTCCACCAATTTAAAAGACTAAATTCTTGTAATTCGTTTCGGTTGCAACACACTACGAACATCCACGCACATATACCTAGCTAACTCAGAAGGCATTTTAAGATTTGTACCACCAATATCGATTGCTCTAGATGTTGATGAGCTAGAACTAGAACTAAATGAAGGAGCACTTGTATTGCTATCTAAATAATTCCATAAATTTTCGGGATTTGTTGAAATATTTCTTGAAAAAGAACTTTGGGAAGTAGAACTACGCTGACCTTCCTTTTCAGCATAATAATTATACATTTCACATAAAAAAGATTCTATATGCACGTGTGATAATTCTATATTCAAAAATCTGATATCCCTTTTACAGTAGTTTTTGTGCCAGTTAAATTAAGTCGAGAGTCCATTACTGAAGTTAAAAGAAATAAAGAAGACAACTCTTCCCAATATTTACAGAATTTTAACTTTATAGAGCGGACTACATCAGCAAAAAGTGGCAAATTCCTATATTTATGAAATGCTTGTGAAATGTAGAAAAAATGTTGTAAAACAAGAGAAGATGTAGGGTAATAAACACCGCTACATTCCTTTGTAGCATCGAAAAAAGGTTGTAAGAATTTTTTCACGTAAAATGCAATAGTCCATTCCCAATCTTCCAAATCATGTTCGGGTCCGAGTGTATGCCTACCATTATAATATAGTGAAATCACTTTATCGTAATTTTCACACGAATATAACATAAGATATGTAGAGTTCCACCTGTGTGTTACATCAGTGGCAAATGATTTCTCCTGTAATCCACACTCTGCACACAAACTATTAAATGCTTGTTTTCTTGCTGGTGACACAGTAATAAAAAAAATTGTTTGTCTAATTTTATCTAAAGGTGAACTTATATGTTCTAATCCAACTTTTACAATCAAATTAATAATATGACATACGCAACGTTGATGAAAAAATAAATTTCCAAATACGGGGTTAAGATCAGCAATAAATCTTTCAATAACAACTTTGTTCACCGCAGCATTATCAAAAATAAAATTTCGAATCATATCTTGTATACTATATTCCTGTATGATATCTTTTAAAACCATGTATATATTAGTGGCATTATGGGGAAATTCTACACATCTGAATGCAATAATTCTTTTATGTAGAAGCCACAGGTGATCAATATAATGAGCCGTAGCAGCAATATAACATTTTCTATTACAACCAGTCCATAAATCAGAAGTAAACGATATAACACTATTAAAACTTTTTAGACCTTCAATAGTAATTTGTTTTCTTCTGTTATATAATTTTATGCTATCCGAACGAAGAGTATTTCTAGAATAAGAAGAATACCTGGGTTGGAGATATTTCTGCACGAGTCGGGTAAAGTGTATTGAGTCTATCATCGTAAGCGGCATCTCTGCTGCAGCCACGTATGCAGCCATTCCTTCACGAAATCTTTCATGTGAATATACAAAGGTGGAAAGAGTAGAATTAGAACCGCCAAACACTAGTTCGGTCTGTTTCGAGTCGAGATCGGCTGGTTTCGCTTTGCAACTCCTCAATACGTGTCTATTCAAATGCGTTGTGCTCAAACCAGGCTCCCAACTAAGTTCTTTGTCACAATAATTGCAACATGCTTTCCAAATATCTACTTTATTTTGAACACCAATTTTTTTCGTGTCATATGTTGCCAACAGTCCGATGATTTTTTTTTGACCTTTTTGTCTCGAGTACTTGAACTTCTTCCTCTTCAATATCCTCCAAATTAATTGGAACATTTTCACATGCATCGTAGTTAGATGGAGTACTCGAACTACCGTCAAACTGATTAATTTCATCACTTGTAAAATCCATAATAACTAGTATAATAAAAAATACGGAATATTAGACTGTAGAGTGAAAGAAATTTAATATATTAATTGTTATATGAGAAGTGAGAAAGAAGAAATTGAAACTTGAATCTGAATCTATGATATAGAAATAATGCGAATTAAAATCGATAGCAAAGTGATTTAAAATTTCAAAAATCATCTCGTATTTATAGATAAAAAAACTCGCTTTATTTTTCAAATTTGAATTTCAAAAAGATAACAGTGTAAGTGTATCAATACGAAAAAATCGGCAGCTATAAAGCTGTCTAAAGAGACAGCTTTACAGCTGCCTGTGACCTGTTGCCGTGCAGCAGTTAAAATATTTTTAAAAATTTTTTTTTTCTTTAATTTGCTCGGGCCGAGCATTTTTGTCTTTGGCCCGTGACACGAGCCGGCCCGTGGCCACACGGGCTTGCTCGGGCTCGGGCCGGCCTCTTATTTTGAGGCTCGACCTGAGCCTAGGCTCGATCTCTACGAGCCACGAGCCGCCCGAGCCACCGAGCCTTTTTGACACCCCTGTCTCATGGTTTCAGTTTGCTTTATCGTATACCGTGATTCTTTTTATTTCTGTGATTATTCAGAATCAGATAACCTCTACGTAAAAAAATCATCAACATTTTTTTTTTATAACACATTTTTAACATTTATATTTTGCTGTAACTTTTTGTTTGATCATAGAAACAGATATGTTCCAGTGGTACATGGATCATGAAAACATTTATCATGATATGAGTGTGAGTAATTTCGTTTATGCAATTCATCTACACTCTGGCTGCAGTCATTTCTAATTGTCTTGGTCTATTGATAATTTGTGAATTTGCTAAAAAGCATTGTTACGTTAGCATGGAACCTTTCCATTTCCATTTCCTCTAAAAAATGATCAAACGCTCTGCTCCAAATCCCAATCTCTCTCTCTCTCTCTAAAATCCCCATCTGAACATGTCCCTCTAAATCCAAGGTGGGTTTGGGGTTTTCACGAATGGAATACAATGTGGTACTTGAAAAAACTCCTTTGCCTTGATATTCTGCATGGAATATGGCAGACAGAATGGAGCCAGGCATGATTTTACCATTTTATTTGAATAAAGAAAAATCTCTATATTTAATACTTTTAATTTTCTCTAACCCATGGAAGAAAAGAATTATTACACGTTTTTTGGTCTAAAATTTCAATATTTTTAATGCCAATTTTGATGATGTCAAGAAGCAGATGCTATGTCGTCAAATACCCCTAAATGCAGAGTGAATATGGTGAAACAGGGGTGTCAAAAAGGCTCGGTGGCTCGGCTCGTGGCTCGGGCCGAGCCTCAAAATAAGACCGTGTGGCTCGCCAAGCCACACGGGCCGGCTCGTATCACGGGCCAAAAATGCTCGGCCCGAGCAAATTAAAGAAAAAAAAAGAATTAAAAAAAATATTTTAACTACTGCACGGCAGCAGGTCACAGGCAGCTATAGCTGCCTTTTTTTTCGTATTGGTACACTTACACTGTTATCTTTTTGAAATTCAAATTTGAAAAATAATGCTGATTTTTTTATCTATAAATACGAGATGATTTTTGAAATTTTAAATCACTTTGCTATCAATTTTAATTCGCATTATTTCTATATCATAGATTCAGATTCAAATTTCAATTTCTTATTTCTCACTTCTCATATAACAATTAATATATTCAATTTCTTTCACTCTACAGTCTAATATTCCGTATTTTTTATTATACTAGTTATTATGGATTTTACAAGTGATGAAGTTAATCAGTTTGGCGGTAGTTCGAGTACTCTATCTAACTACGATGCATATGAAAATGTTCCAATTAATTTGGAGGATATTGAAGAGGAAGAAGTTCAAGTACTCGAGACAAAAAGGTCAAAAAAAGAATTATCGGACTGTTGGCAACATATGACACGAAAAAAAATTGGTGTTCAAAATGGAGTAGATATTTGGAAAGCATGTTGCAATTATTGTGGCAAAGAACTTAGTTGGAAACTTGGTTCGAGCACAACGCATTTGAATAGACACGTATTGAGGAGTTGCAAAGCGAAACCAACCGATCTCGACTCGAAACAGACCGAACTAGTGTTTGGCGGTTCTAATTCTACTCTTTCCACCTTTGTATATTCACAGGAAAGATTTCGTGAAGGAATGACTGCATACGTGGCTGCAGCAGAGATGCCGCTTACGATGATAGACTCAATTCACTTTACCCGACTCGTGCAGAAATATTTCCAACCCAGGTATTCTTCTTATTCTAGAAATACTCTTCGTTCGGATAGCATAAAATTATATAACAGAAGAAAACAAATTACTATTGAAGGTCTAAAAAGTTTTAATAGTGTTATATCGTTTACTTCTGATTTATGGACTGGTTGTAATAGAAAAAGTTATATTGCTGCTACGGCTCATTATATTGATCACCTGTGGCTTCTACATAAAAGAATTATTGCATTCAGATGTGTAGAATTTCCTCATAATGCCACTAATATATACATGGTTTTAAAAGATATCATACAGGAATATGGTATACAAGATATGGTTCGAAATTTTATTTTTGATAATGCTGCGGTGAACAAAGTTGTTATTGAAAGATTTATTGCTGATCTTAACCCCGTATTTGGAAATTTATTTTTTCGTCAACGTTGCGTATGTCATATTATTAATTTGATTGTAAAAGCTGGATTAGAACATATAAGTTCACTTTAGATAAAATTAGACAAACAATTTTTTTTATTACCGTGTCACCAGCAAGAAAACAATCATTTAATAGTTTGTGTGCAGAGTGTGGATTACAGGAGAAATCATTTGCCACTGATGTAACACACAGGTGGAACTCTACATATCTTATGTTACATTCGTGTGAAAATTACGATAAAGTGATTTCACTATATTATAATGGTAGGCATACACTCGGACCCGAACATAATTTGGAAGATTGGGAATAGACTATTGCATTTTACGTGAAAAAATTCTTACAACCTTTTTTCGATGCTACAAAGGAATGTAGCGATGTTTATTACCCTACATCTTCTCTTGTTTTAAAACATTTTTTCTACATTTCACAAGCATTTCATAAATATAGGAATTTGCCACTTTTTGCTGATGTAGTCCGCTCTATGGAGTTAAAATTTTTTAAATATTGGGAAGAGTTGCCTTCTTTATTTCTTTTAGTTTCAGTAATGGACCCTCGACTTAATTTAACTGGCACAAAAACTACTGTAAAGGGGATATCAGATTTTTGAATATAGAATTATCACACGTGTATATAGAATCTTTTTTATGTGAAATGTATAATTATTATGCTGAAAAGGAAGGTCAGCGTAGTTCTACTTCCCAAAGTTCTTTTTCAAGAAATATTTCAACAAATCCCGAAAATTTATGGAATTATTTAGATAGCAATACAAGTGCTCCTTCATTTAGTTCTAGTTCTAGCTCATCAACATCTAGAGCAATCGATATTGGTGGTACAAATCTTAAAATTCCTTCTGAGTTAGCTAGGTATATGTGCGTAGATGTTCGTAGTGTGTTGCAACCGAAACGAATTATAAGAATTTAGTCTTTTTAATTGGTGGAGATGTAACGAAAGGCAATATCCAATTGTATCAAAAATTGCACGTGATCTACCAACACCTCCGGTGTCTACGGTAGTATCGGAGGCTGCATTCAGTTTAGGTGGTCGAATTTTATCAGATGAACGATCAAGACTAAAAGAAGATATATTGAAGGATTTGATATGTTTGAAGGATTGAGAATGTGCAGAATTACGTGTTCAAGAACATGTTAATAGTATAATGGCCGAAGAGTTGCAGCATATTCAAACATAGGATGTTGTAAGTTTTTAAATTAATTATTTTTCTTTAAGAAATGTATTTTTTAAAATTTATTTGATTCAAGAAAATTGTACACGAAATATTTTATTCGTGTACAATTTTAACTCCGCCTACGTTAATTGTAGCCGGTCCCAAACCCGGAAAAAGGAGGAGAGTTGTAATTTGTAACTTTTATTTATTTTGTTATTCGTATAAATTACATAATTTTGAAAGTTGTACTTTTATTTAATTTGTAATTTGTATAAATAACAAATGATGCAATTTTTAAATTCTTTCAAAAAAATGTCATTCAACAATTTGCACCACAACAATTAGCATGTAAAAAAATGTCATTAAAAATTGGAAAAACAAAAAAAAAATTAAAAAATCGAGCCGGCCCGAGCCGAGCCGGCTCGGGCA